TGGTCTGTAGCAAATGTAATTTTATTCTTAAAAATTTCTTCTCATACGTAAAAATACACATAGATATGCTTACATTGTCAATAACTGCGGTAAATCCTTTAAACAAAAAAAAAAAAAAAAAAAAAAAAAAAAAAAAAAAAAAAAATCACATACTAAGAGATAAACGCATGACAAAGTAAGCTGAAAATTGCTAAAAGTAATTTAAAACTCGCATTTAAAGTGTTTATCAAATACATTCATGTTTTTGGATTGCAATTCAATAACAATTGGAACAGAAACTACATTATGAACACATAATCATACAGCATTGAGTATTATTAAGAGTAATTCGTGTGACTAGTGATATTTTAATACAGCTTAAATGATCACTTTTAGTAAATAAAAACTGAACATCTATTAGGGACCACTTGACTTTATGGATATGTATCTATGCACGAGTATTACTTTCCAAGTGAAACTCGGTACAGGTTGTTGAAAATAGTGTTGGTAAATGCATTCATTAATATACGAATGCGATTCGAGCTGCGAACGTACGAAATACACTGTCAATCATAATTATTGATTCTCCATTAGTAACTCGCTTGTAATTTATGCATGACAACAACAAGTTTGTCGTGTTGAAAGGCGATAAAAAATCAATTTAAGTGTCGGACAGTGCCATAAATTCTGCTTTATACATCGCCAGATAGAGGTAGACAATACTATAAATGAATGAAAAAAAAATTGGGTAAACAAAATTGAGAGCTGAATGTCGAAAGGTAAATACACTATAACAAATTATTGCATTGAATAAATGTTTTATGATTTGTTCATGTATATGTGTTATATATGTTATATCTATTGGAGGCTCAGAATAAAATATTTATTACATTCTATGCTATGTATAAATGATAAATTATGTTAGCTGTTATACAAGTAATTTATATTCATAAATTACAGATTTTGTAGTTCTAATTTTTAAAATTTTTTAATTTTTGAGTATCTTTAAATAATTATTTTTTAAAATTAAAATACGCAAAAATTACTAATACAGCTTTGAGTCCTAACTTTTTATTTCCAAGCTGAAACAAATGTTTCTTTATAGAGGTATATTTTACAAATTATTGAATATAATTGATTATTGAATAATAATTAATTTGCATTAAATTTTTAATATTTACATTGAAAAGCATAAAAATAGAATTAACATATTTTATACAGATGTAATATATATGGAGGGTTCCTATAATATATAGAATGTAAACTTTGCAGTTAATAGTATGGTATATAACTTGTACACATATATATTCCAAGAAAATATCAGGCTGGTGATTCAACATGAAAAGACTACAAATAGAAACGAATATTTACTGTAAAAGCTTCAAGGCAAATGCTTGTCAATATTTCAAAGTTTTTTTTGCTCTACATCAAATTTGAATTTGACAAAAGTGAAATTGACGGCCAACGGAATTAGCAGTTCGATGTGTTTCTGTGCACAACAAGAAATCGAGAACCTAAAAATAAACTTTGTGCAAATGGAAATGGAAGTCGTGTTAGGCTGCCATTAGGCTGAAGAAGCTTTGGCAGTTGTCTGTCATTTGCTATCAATATTTATGACATTGCTTTGCTTTTATTATTTGGCAATTAATAATTTGTGTGGGCTGAAATGAAATTTCAATTTAATTTACGACAATGTTCGGTTGGAACAAGGGAAAACTAAAAGTCAAATGCCATGCGAAATGCATTTTCTTGTCAAGTGTCAAAAGCAGAAATGCAGCGGCCCAGCTTTGGCCAGTCAGTTGCAGGACTGCTGGAGTCCTACTTGGGCCATCTCCTCGGAGTCCTCGGACTCCGTATGCAACAGCAGACCAATAAACAAAAGCATTAAACCCATAAAA